TCTGCATGTCTGTGTTCAGAGTCAGTGTGCCAAAATGCTCAGGAGCTATGCTTTGGAAGTGGATGCCAGTGGTCCATGAACATCCTTTCCTTTAGTACTACTTGTTAAAGTGTCTTCAATTTCTAATTTAATGTCTACTAATGAAATATATTTGTTATATATTCAACTGTGAGTAGGACTGATTAGTGTCATTTTTTTTTTAAAGATTTATTTATTTGTGCATACAGAACTGGGGTACAGGCCAGAGGCTCAGGGGCGGTGAGAGGCTTCACCAGAGACAGAGTGGGGAGCAGAACAGGCAGATCGACGAAGTACACTGCTGAGGGGAGCAGCGGGCGGGTCAGGAGAGGTCTGCCACACCATGTGGTCACCTCCGGGGCAGGCAGGAATTGAACTCATGCGGAAGCAGCTTTAGATTCTCAGTGCTGTGCTTTAACCCGCTGTGCCACCAGGGAGGGCCTGATTAGCATCATATTTAATTCAGGCTTTGTTTTCTACTTACTCTGACATGGAGAGAGAACTAAATAACCTTTCTGTGAGTGAGAGATTAGATAAAATTGTATTTCCTGATTATTAGGTATTTTGTGATAAGGTGATGAGAGGCAAGATCTGCAGCTCGATATCTGACAGGCTTTCCCAAGGTTTCTCGAGGTTGTGCAGTACAGAGGAACAGGATGCCTGACATGTGACCATTCACAATGCTGATGTATCTCTTCTCCCCACACCACCTGGATTGGGATCGTTGAGGTTGTGAGCTTGCATCTTTCTGTTTAATGAGCTCTGTGGTAAAGAACTGTTGGGTAAGAAGAGCAGCTTCGTTATGCTGGAGGCCCTTTTTAAAGAGAGAAATGCTGAGTTGGGGAAGAGTGTTTATTGGATGTATAGAAATCTTGTAGGAAGGTACAACTTGATTTTATGCACCATTGATATCACCTGATTGTCTTTGGCATATATCTTTCAGGCCTACATACTGGTTGAATGGCAACTACAAATCTCCATAAGCCTAGAATGGAATTGGTTAAACCAGACTGTGGCTTCTACTTCTACAATGTAGAAGTGACACTGCAAATGTACAGTGATAACAAAAATATGCTATTGAAGACTACTAATATGTCACCTTTTAAAAAAAGATTTATTTTTATTTATTGATGCATATAAGAACTGGGGTGGAGGCCAGAGATGTGGGGAAATTGGTGAAAGGAGTCACCAGAGGGGAGCAGCAGGTGAGACAGGAAAAGTTTGATGTGCCATGTATCCTCATTCCCTGGTTTGGGACCAAACTTATGCCATAGTGACTTTAACCCTTGTGCTACCAGGGAGGCTGTGTTTTGTCATCGGAATGAGTAGTGGCTGACCTAACCTTGGAATTTTGCAGTGTGGTTGGCTCTGTGGTTGTATATATTGGTGACCAGCTGTCTTTCAATAAACTCTCACTCTATCTCAGTGCCTTTCTTCAGTTTTATAAATGTAACTGTGGACCATTTTGACTTTCATTACATATGCAAGAAATTATAATAAAATAATATGCGTACATTAAAAAGTCAGGGAACAGTCCAGTGGTTTGTTTTACAACGGGAGAGAATTGGCAAAAGTTGATTTAAATTTTACGCTTTGAACCATTTTGAGCCTTGCCTGGGTTGGGTGCTTTTGAATCTAAAAAAAAAAAAATCTGAGACTAGTTTCTGAGCCAAGACATTGAATTTTCAAAGGAGGCAAAGTTGGATAAACTGAAGACTCTGATTTAATAGTAGTACATTTAATTTATTATTTTCTTAAAGTAATGAGATTGTTTTGCTTTTTAACTTGAGAAGGACTTTGATTATCATCTAATTCTAGAATTTCACTGAGAAGTAACAAACAAAAAAACATGTGGGAAACTGTTCCTTAAATATTCAAACAGAAAGAACTTTATTTTCCTCCTAGTAGTGGATCCCTACTAAATCAGTGTGTATATGGACCACATGACATTTTCATTTATTGAATGGAAAGTTGAGAGGGTCTTTGTTTAGCACTTGAAATATTGGACATGATTCAAATGGGAGTCAAGTGAGTCTAGAGGCTTTATTCATACCTATTTTCTTTTAGTCAGCAATGCTTCATAATGCCCTGGTTTCATGAATTAATTTTAATGGAATTAAACTTGAACAGCTCAAAATTATATAATTAATTTAATTCAGCTTCAATTAAAGTTACTAATTGAATCAAGCCTACTAGCATGACACCTGGCGGCAGGCAGCTACATAACAGTAGCAGCAACTGTTGGACTCTACTAATGAGAGTTCATGTGTGCTGGTGAGTTTGTCGAACAGCCTCTTCTGTTAATGATCTGAGACAGGCGTGGCGTTTACTATAGCAGGGGAAAGATTTCTGGAGTTTAAAAGGGCAAGATTTTAATTGATACAAACACATCTCAGGAAGATTGTGCTTGCTGTATGATGATAATGAATAAAAGTTATATAAATCAGGCCCTCCCTGGTGGCACAACGGGTGAGGATGCAGCCGCTTCAGTGTGAGTTCGATCCCTGGCCCTGGAGGTGACCCATATGGTGTGGCAGACCTTCCCTGACCCGCCCGCTGCTCCCCTCAGCAATGTACTTCGTTGACCTGCCTGTTCTGTTCCCCACTCTATCTCTAGTGAATCCTTTCACCGCCCCTGCACCTCTGACCTGCACCCCGGTTGTGTATGCATAAATAAATCAATCTTATACAAAAGCAAAAATAAACAAATGGGAATATATTAACCTAAAAAATCCTTGCACACTGAAATAAACATCTTTTTTTTTTTTTTTTTTTAAGATTTATTTATTTGTGCATACAGAACTGGGGTACAGGCCAGAGGCTCAGGGGAGGTGAGAGGCTTCACCAGAGACAGAGTGGGGAGCAGAACAGGCAGATCAACAAAGTACACTGCTGAGGGAAGCAGCAGGCGGGTCAGGAGAGGTCTGCCGCGCCATGTGGTCTCCTCCCGGGCAGGCGGCAGGCGGGAATCGAACTCATGCGGAAGTGGCCTCAGATTCTCAGTGCTGTGCTTTAACCCGCTGCGCCACCAGGGAGGGCCGAAATAAACATCTTTTAAAGGTTATATAATTCACAACATTTTGGTTTACAAGCTTCTAATCTATATTTTACTGCTAACTTTTGCTATCTAAAAATACTCAGTACTGAAGATCTTTTTTTTTTTGAGTGCTTAGCCTTTGGACTTAGTCCTAAGTTGGTGTCCATTTATTTTCATGTGTTGAAATGTGTTTCATAGCAGAACTTTTCAATTGTGAAATCCCCATGGTACATGAGAACTTTTTGCATGTGCACAAGTTTTTCCCTTCCACTGGAAATGTTAACATAGTTGACTAACAACTTCTGTTTTAATCTCTTTCCTTTCCTTGCTTCCATGGCTTGATCTCATCCAACTTCTGTTCCTTCTCTAAGTCCTTTCTAATGGTACAGACTTTTAATGTACTCTTTTGGTGAGTTATTATTGGAAAGTTTTAGCTATTGAGTTTAGGAAATGAGTGCTTCTAGCTATACCTTTATTTGTGACTTGTAAATTCAAATGTTTGATCCTGAATTCATCCTTTCTGTTTTCTTCCTTTTTGGTACATCAATACTTTAATGATTCACAATGATGCAAATGCAATAGCATCACTTATGATGCTTTCCCAAACTGAAATAGAATCTTTGGTGGTGGGGTCAGGGATTCTGGCTCTTAAAAAGCCCCAAAGTGGGCCCTCCCTGGTGGCGCAGCGGGTTAAAGCACAGCACTGAGAATCTGAAGCCACTTCCGTATGAGTTCGATTCCCGCCTGCCGCCTGCCCCGGAGGAGATCACATGGCGAGCCAGACCTCTCCTGACCCGCCCGCTGCTCCCCTCAGCAGTGTACTTTGTCGATCTGCCTGTTCTGCTCCCCACTCTGTCTCTGGTGAAGCCTCTCACCGCCCCTGAGCCTCTGGCCTGTACCCCAGTTCTGTATGAATAAATAAATAAATCTTTAAAAAAAAAAAAAGCCCCAAAGTGAGTTAAAAGTGCAGTCAAAGTGGGGAACCATTGTCGTGCATGCATTTCTTAATCTTTCTAATGCATAGCTCTGCTTTGGGAATTCATAAACCACCATGGCTATTTTGACCTGTCTTACTTCTCACCATGGCATCCAAATATTCATACTGTGTCCCTAATCAGACCTTTAAATTCATATCTTCTGTTGTCTCCCTTAATGCACTTCACAGTCCAGAGAATTGGAATTTTGCTCAATCATCTGCTTTTCCCGGGGAAACAGCCTTTCACCCATGTCTACTTTTAGAATTCCTGCTGATTTTTTAAATACCACCAAATGCACATTTTTCTACAGTGCCTTTCCTCACCTCCGAATCCAGATGAGTTTCTTTTTCTTCCTTCGAACCGCTTCAGTGCTCTGGACTTCTTACGACACACATTTTACCTTGTGTTACAGTTTGCTTTTTGTTTGAGTTATGTCCCCAGTAAGACATTACTTTTCCTGATGTCTTGGCTTCCCCACTGAGAACCCATAAACTCATATATAAATCTCTTACTCTAAACACCCTCCCTTTATAGCATAATTCTTGACTGTTTTCCCAAGTTTCTACAGAGAACTCTTCTACTGACTTTCTGTACTTACTCTTTTCTCAGTCATTTGAGCCTCTCTTATCTTTCCCACATATTGGGGTCTCTTCTCTTTGATGCTTCCCAGCCTCCCCTGTCCTCTTCGAGTGTGGACTTTTCATCATTGGTGTACCTTTCCACATTTCTGTGTATGGCCAGTCATTTTCTGTATTAGGATGATCACAATAACTTTAACGGATTATTCTTGTGTAAACATGTCTCTTGAATGCTTGACACATGACAAATATCATTTGAGTCCATCAAATATACAGTAGCCAATACGGTACTGATTAACTTATGACAGTTAATGTTAGAGAAAATAAATTGTGAAATGAAAAAATAGAAAAATATGTAACATTTGATAATATCTTATTGTCATTATTTAGAGAAATGTGCTAAAGAAGATGCTGAGGAGAAGCTAACTCCTGCTGCCAGTAACAGCTTTACATGTGGAGAGATGCAAGACCAGCCCATTTGGGGACATTCTTCAGACGATGAACTTATCAGAAGTAAGTGTTTTTAGAGAAAATCAGAGTGCTTTGTGGAATGACCATGAGAAGATGCTCTCAGTTAATTGGCCCATATAGTTGTGCCAGAAATGCATAAATCAACATAGTTTAACTAAAAGTATTTTCATATTTTAAAAACTAGAACTAACACCAGGCTGCAAAAATTACTGTTATTTTTTATCCTTTCCTTAGAAAGGAAGAATTGACCTATAAATGTCAGACCCAATTCTTAAAGAGACTTAACCAATATTTAAGTACTTACGAGCAGTGACTAAGTGGAAGTCTGACAACTCTAGGTGGACATGGACTGTGAACCTTAAAAGGCATTAAGCAGTGTATTTGCTGTTTTGGTATCTGTTCTTCTAGCCAAAGAATTGCAAACTCTTTTCAGCACTGCATGACTTCTTTTTTTTTTTTTTCTTCACATTTCTTGATTTCTGCATCTAGAGCTGGGGTTCAGGCCAGAGGTGCAGGTGCAGTGAGAGGCTTCACCAGAGAAAGAGGTGAAAGCAGAACAGGCCGATTGACAAAGTACACTGCTGAGGGGAGAGCCAGCGGGTCAGGAGAGGTCTGCTACGCCATGTGGATCCTGGGCAGGGATCAAACTCATGCTGAAGTGGCTTTAGCTTCTTAGTGCTGTGTTTTAACCTGCTGTGCCACCACAGAGGGCCTGTGTGGCTTCTTTTAATTATTTTCCTCTTCCTGATATAACTGTAGAATATATCCCAAGGGGCTTCTAGGTGTTATTTAGATGCCAATTTGACACCTCGTTCTGCTCTTGACCTTGAGTTTCCTTTCTATTTCCAAGTTCACCCAAGTGAGTTCAGAAGGACTTTGCCATGAAGTGAATTGTCTCTGTCATTAATATGCAAGTGTAAACCTACCTAAGACGGCCTAGGAATAAAGTTTTGAAAATCTTATGGTATCCCAGTTACCAGGTCTTCTTCTCAGATTTTCAGAGAAGACAGAGAATTGCTTTTTTGGAATCAGGCTTATTATTATTACTATTATTATTATCATTATTATTTTCACTTAATCTTTAGCTCAAACAACTTCATAATACGACCTTCCTCATACTACATATTACACTTCCTTTGGAACTTGGAAAATTTCCTTTCTGCTCTAGAATGCCCAGTATCAGTTACCTAACCAATGTATTAAAGCCTGGGGGGCGGGGGAAGGAGGGGATTTGAATAAAACAACTTAGTAAAAAACAAACTAACAAAAATAATTTCAACTTTTCAAACTAAACTTATAAAAGTCAGTTTAATTTTGGGACTATTTTGCAGTTATCCACTTTTGTCTCGGAAAAGTGAACAATAGGAAGGACATGAAACGCAGATATGAGTGAGGAACAAGATTTATATAGCTTCTCCTAGAGAATCAAATAAACATTATTTCAAGTAAACATTTATTCCCCAAACGCTTAGTGTTTTTTTTTTTTTTTTTAAATCTAAATATTGATTTCTGCCATGGTGAAACTTACGGTTCTGTTAGTTCCTGGCATATTTTATTTGTGATTTGTTAACAACTGGGGTGAGCTAGTGAGAATTAAATGAGGCCTTAGAAATAATTTTATCTTCATCTTTTGGGGGACATAACTGTCTTCTCATTTGTTTTTCATAGTCATAGGATGCTAAGTGTGTGTATTTTACTTAATTGATTTATTTCCCTAATCTGTTCCCAAGGCCCACATGAGGAAAACATGAATAAGAACTCTGACAAAAAACAAAATCCAAACACTGTTGCATTAGGACATGGAGAGGCATATTAACATGCTAATTCATTTTTATTGTTATGTTTGGTGATATTAACTTTAATCTCAGAATTCATACAGTTAAAGGGAGTGGATTCAAAATGAATTACCCTCTCTTTCATCCATATTTGTTAAGTGGACAGTGATAAAAATCTAAAAATAACATGAAATAGTTTCAGACTGAGCTGCTGCTGCTGCTGCTGCATCCTTGGGACACTGAGGCATCTGGGAACAACTCAGCTGCCTGTACTATGCTTATAGGAATGCAGAGCTCCTGGGGTCCATGGCCCTGGGGGGTGGGGGGGCAGGGGGCGGGAGCTACTGGGAACAGGCGTGGAGGGATATAGGAAAGGTAGCTCCTGTCTGAAACATAAGCTGGCAGAAACTTCCAGATATTTGTGGGTGTGACATCAAAATCGGAATTAACGATTACAGATTTTAAAAACTATTTCTGCTATTTTTCTTATTTACCCCTACTAGACAAAGGCCACTTTCTGCGTCTACAGAAAAATTTGATGTCCAGATTTGCCAAAAAGGAACATTTGATGTCGTTTTTAAAACCTGACTCAATTCTGGAAAGCATTTGAAAGTTTGATAGTGTGATAGCTTCTGCTGTTCCAGGTCCCTGATACTAAGCTCTGCAGACCTGTCCGATTTTCCTCCTTTGACCATCTCTGCATAATGTAATGTCTGTCTCTCAACCCTGCAGTTGAGGAGACATGTGTTTGTCCTTTGCTTAAGCAGTTAGTGTTTTTCTGGGGGCCCAGTGGATCTTTGTAATAACAATAGGCCTTGGAAAGAAGACCTGGCTCTGAGCTCTGTGAGGGAGGAGGGCAACATCTGTGGTGAGTCATGATCCCACTGGCTCCAGTTCCAGCAGGCCGGTGTGGCTCCCTGAGCACCGTGGAAGAGGTAGCAGCTGGTTCTCATGGAACTGATGTTAGTGTTCCCACTGTGGTGAGAGGGTACTGGATGCAGGGATCAGCAGCAGCAAAATGAGACCGGCTGGGGTGTGGGAACATTTTCAAATGCACAGCTCACTCTTTTTTCCAAGCTTCCATGGGAGAACTGTGCTGCAAAATCGAGAGAAGGAGCAACTCTATGCTTAATGTGACTTCTTCTTTTCTGTCTCTTCTTGAGAGTGGTGAGAGCTGGCAGCTAGGGTCTCCCCGATGCCTCCCCTCTTCCATGTTGGATGCGTAAGCATACTTTATAGGGGCCTGTTAGCTGTCAGTGTGATGAAGCTGTTTTTACTTTTCTGAGAATAAGTGAGCTCTGGAAAGTCAAGGGTGTGGCTGCTTTGGAAATTGTATTCTAATTAAAGGGTGTATTCTCAGGCCTCATAAATGCAATCCAAGCTGAGAAGCATTTCCAAATTATTCTGTGACCTTTAACCCTGAACTCTGTGGACCACCCACTTATGGCTCACACTTGGTTCATACTCCACAGAGAAGTTGGCACTTGGTCTATCTTCCCTGGTCCTTCCAGAAAACATTGCAGGTGGCAGACCTGAGGTACTCTGCCCTCAGGGCCTGGATTTCCAATTGGTTGCCCTTGAATTGCTAACTTATTAGAGAGAATCCTGTCTGGAAGTTATAAATAAAAGAGAAGAAATCCATATGGAATCCAACATTTCGAATAAATAGGCCACACACAATCTGGTCAGGGAATGTGTGTGGTGATTCTCTTTCTTATGAAATTTAAATTAAAATAGGATTCCAGCCACTGAAGTTTGTTAAAAGAAAAATTTAAATCAGTAAAGAATTAAAAACATAATGGGAGTTTTGTAGGGAAGTCTTATAATTAGAAATTGTAACTTTTTAATTTTATGTATTTTAATCTTTTAAATAGTTTTAAGAGGCTGAGAAAATATTTTGGTATACGATTTAATTTCTGGAATGGTTAGTGAGAGAGCCTCTGGGATGAGGCTTAAATTTTAGAGTTTATAAGAGCATCTTTTTATGGAACACTGATTAAGACTTTGGCTTTTCCCTTCAGATTAGCATATATGGTACAGTATATAATTTGGAGCTATGCCTTGTTTTAATAATCACTATTCCTCTGACTTAGTAAAATAAATGTTGCAGACGTGACATCCTCAATTAATATTAATTTTTCTATTTAACCCATAATATGCATAAACTGATAACAGGCAATACGCAACATTTCATGTTTTAATTAGACTAGAAAAGGAACAGAAGTAACATTTTGATCCCAGTCTTTGGGGGGATTTATTTCTAAGGTAGAAAGGAGTGGATGTGTATTGCTGTGCTTATACTCGTAGGCATGTGTGATATTTTCCTTTAATTTAGGTCAAATTGTACTATTCTAATTATTTCCTAGAGAGAGAGAGTGAGCTTACATTTTCTTCCTCTTTCTAAAGTGCCTCAGGTCTCTCAGATTTTTCTAGGTCTTTCTGAAAATTCTTATTACTTAACTTTATCCTTGGACATTGCTTTTACATAAATGCCTCCTAATTCTAAATGTCATTACTTAACTCCAGAAATTTTCCTTAGCTTCTCTTGTGCACTAAATTTCCCATTAAATTAAACCATTTTGTTCAGCTAATTCTCTCCTTTGTGATTTTGTAGAATTCCCATGATCTGAAGCAAAGTTAGAATGCTCTACTTAACTGGTAATCCCCATTCTGTTTAACCCATTTATTCATTTTGAAGAGTTTTCAGCTCTCCTAATAGTAAGCACTTAATTGGAGTAGAAAATGAGCCTCTTTCTCTAATTCACACTCGCCTCCTCTTTGTGGGACTGATGCTCTAGCCTTTCCACCCATCCTCCTATTTGAAACCATGCTTTGGCATGCTCTACCTCTCCTCTTTACATTAGCGGGTCTGTGACCAGGAACTAGTATTTCTCTTCTGAGCCTTTGCCAGCTTACCACTGATCACCCCAGAATAAGTACCATGCCACCACTTTAGGGAACACCTCCTCTGTGTAAGAGACTGAAAGAAAGTTAGGTACACATGTGCGCTAGTAGATGTTTGAGCTACTGCTTTCTTTGATGTTAGGAAAGAGTACACGGGAGGTTTGGTTTTAACTTTCTTCAGTGGCTCTCATGTTTGAATTACCACAAATATAATTTGATTTTCTTCACAATTCACTTTATATAAAAGAGACCATAGACGAGTCCCACAGTGAAGTATCTTCCAGATAAGACTGGGAGATGTAGCTTTTGTGTTACCTTCCTTAGGTGATTTTGGATCTTTGCTCTCAGCTTTCACACGTGTTC